GATTAAGAGTCTCTTGGGACATCTGAGTGGCTGGTTGACTGCCTGCCTTCAGCTTAGGTCATGATCCTTGGGTCAAGTCCCACATCAGGCTCCTTGCTCATCAGGGAGCCTGATTCTCCCTCTGCCTGCTGCTCCCCCTGTTTGTGCTCTTTCTCTCTCGGTCTGTCTCTCTGACAAATAAATAAATAAATAAATAAATAAATAAATAAAATTTTTATTAGAAAAAAAAGAGTCTCTTATGGTTTGTCTCCCTCTCTGATTTCATTTTGTTTTATTTTTCCCTCCTTTCCCCTATGATCCTTTGTTTTGTTTCTTAAATTCCACATAAGAGTGAAATCATATGATAATTGTCTTTCTCTGATTGACTTATTTCACTTAGCATAATACCCACTAGTTTCACGTCATTGCAAATGGCAAGATTTCATTCTTTTTGATGGATGAATAATATTCCACTGTGTGTGTGCATGTGTGTGTGTGTGTATAATACATATATTTTATATATTAATATATATTACATGAAAGATTATTTTTCAATACATTTCTATTGGTTGCTGGTATATAGAAACATGACTGATTTTTACATATTGACCTTGTACAATAATTTTGTATCAAGGATTAATTCTGATACTTATAGTTTCCTTGATATTTTTAATAGACAAAATTCATGTCATTTCTAAATAGCAACCAAGCACTTCCAAAAGATTGGTTTTATGTCTCTGGTAAAGATTTTGGAAAGATTCGATGGTGAGGCCAATGAGAGTAGGTTGTTCCTTGTAAAAAGGATCCTGATATGAATCTCTCTCTCTCTCTCTCACACATAAACACACACCATTCAGTTCTGCCCAACTCACTACATGCAGTTTAATTATTTTATCCTACTCTTTGAAATACATGGGAAAAAAAGGAAACTCTAATTCTTAGTCAATGTTTCTCATATTTTTCATGAAAGTGATTCTAGTAATTTGAAGTCTCAGTGTTTTTCTTACAAATTTGATGAAAATTTTCATTTTCTTCTCCAAAAAGCCATATTTATTTTCTTGGGGAAATAAAGTTGCAAATAGCTAATAGACCCTGGGACAATGTGGGGGTTTAGGGAACTGACCTCTGTGCAGGCAAAAGTCTGTGTATAACTTTTGACTCCCCCAAAACTTAACTTAATTCACAGCCTACGGTTAACCAGAAGCCTTAACAATAACACAAAGAATTGATTAACACGTATTTTGTATGCTGTGTTATATTCTGTACTCCTACAAGAAAGTAAGCTAGAGCAGAGAAAATGTTAAGAAACTCATGAGGAAGCAAAACTACATTTGTAGAACTGTCCTGTATTTATTGGGGGAAAAAAACCCTGCATATAAGTGGACCCACACCACTTAAACCCATGTTGTTCAAGGGTCAACAGTATCGTTAGTGACCATGATACCGTCGTGAGATGCACAATCTCTCAATTCAGGACTTTAGTGCTCTCGAACTACCTCCTACCACCTTGGGTTATTCCCCTTCAGAGAATCAGAGTGGATTCTAACAAGGCTCAGAGTCAAGGTCGTGCCTGTTCCTGTGCATGAAGGAAGAGCGTGTGCGTGTGCAGAGCAGAGCGGCCTCACCTCTGCCGTCACAGGTGCTCTGAGATCAAGGGGCTTATGTGGCATGAGTGCTGTGAAACTCACCTCTGAGGTGCCCCTGTCGCCAGAGCGAACCTGAAATCTTGAAAGTCCGTATAAATAACATTTGCTGTTTGTATCACTGGGGAAAAGTAAAACAAAACAAAACAAAACAAAAAACCCAAAAAACCAAAAAGCAAAAAAACAAAACAAAACAACAACAACAAAAAAAAAAAACAGTGCCACACAAGCCATTTTACGGAAAGAAAATCCTTGGGAGACTCATCTATACCAGTCATCAAAGTGGAAATACTAAGTTGTACTTGGTTTGTGATCTTTTATTTGTATCCCTTGCATTCTTGGTTTCCAACTTTTGCTCCTTCGACATGAGTGACAGCTTGCTACAGATCTGAAATTTTCCCTCTGTAAGAAGGAGGAGGTATTCAGTGCTACAGGGGAAGACATTAGAGTATGCAGAGTAAAGGCCTGTCTCGCAAGATTGGGCCTCAGAACTTTCGTACTCCATCCAAGCAACTTCTATCCTGGCATCTAATTTTGGGTAAGGCACTGGTTTTGATGTCTATAATCTGTGAGCCCACTGGTAGTATTTTCTTATGACACCATTGTTTTGTGCGTGCGGGGGGCCGAGATAGACTACCATAAATTATTTGCTAATCTCAGTTAATTACTACAGAGCATTCACGTTCCATAGAAATTCTTCTCATTTTCAAACCAATCTTTTGGTAAGAATTCAAAACACCATTTACCCTGTCAGGGTCAGAATACTATAGGCAGCAGAAGGCCATTCCATCTGGTGAATATGGTATGTGATTAGGCTCATTTAAACTTTTTTCTCCTTGGCACTCCTGAAAATAAGAAGTTGTTGATGTTTTGACATAATTGGATCAAAACCTTTTAATACAAATCCTTCTTGAATCTGTAATCCTTATTGAATCTGTTTTTTTAAAAACATATTTATGCTCCTTCTAAGAATCTCTAATATGCCATCCCCCAAATCCTGCCCTATTCCAACCCGTGCTGTCCCTCAAAGTAAGAATCCTTAAAATTTTAGCATATGCACACCAATAAGGAGATAATTCAAGAACAAACAGGTGATTGCTACAGGGGAGGGGCTGGGGTATGGGAGAAAGGGGTATAAACTTTCAGTGATAATATCAATGTCCTGGGGATGAAAAAAAAAAAAAAGAATTAATCCAGATGCTTTCTAATCATAGTTCACTGATTCTCTACCCTAACTGGGATAAATCCTTCCTAAGAGCAAACAGAACTGCAAAAAAAAAAAAAAAAAAAAAGTCTTGAACTCTATTCAGTAGGCTTCATGCTGGCGTTGGTATAAATAGAAGGTCTCCAGCTTCTATGATGGGAACGAACAAAGAAAGAAATGTGCTGATGGATTGGGTTATATACAGAGATGGGGGAAAGTGGGGACAAAGACAGACCAAAAGAGATAACAGCGAAAATGGCAAAACATTCGCGATAGGCAAATGCAGTGGAAGGTCTACACGTGTTCATTGTACACGGATTTCAACTTTTCTGTGGGTTTGGAAGCTGCACAGTTTCAAGGACTAGCACTTCCTCAGAGACTGAAACCACATCTTCCCAACTTTTGGAAATATCCAAAGACACCCTATCAAATGCCAAAACATTGTTTCTCACCGTGCTTGGCAAGAGAAAACACACTGTATCTTGGATATTTAACATAACCAAACATGTGAGCACCCCACATTTGAGCCTTCTACTGAACAGCCTGACTCCGTGAAAGGTTTCTCGTGCAGTGCACTCCCCTGCCCACCAGCAGGTATTGCTACCTGGATAGGAACCGCCCTGATCTCCTGAGGGATGCCACAAGCTCACCAGTTCCTCAGCAGGCTCACAGCACTCCACACCCCTCCGAGGGCTGCTGGCCTCTCTACCTCCTCTCCCGTCCCCAGCCCAACTCCATTCTGCCAGTCCTAACTGACCTCACAAAGAAAGGCATACTGATGTCCCTCGCACCCCATAGCTGGCGGTGAAACCTTATTTGTGAAGTCTGCTTGGAAACTCCCTCCATCTCAGTCTCATGGAATTATGCCTCGTGGTTTCCATTCTTCACGATGGGTGCACACGGAACAGCCCACCCCATAGCAGATGCACTCCCCGACAGCTCTGACACGGTCCACTCACGTGCAGAGGACTGTACAAGCTGAGCCTCATAGGGTGGCCCTTTCCTCCCCAGCTGCAGTGAGCTTGCTCTTCGGGGACCTTCCTTCTTCCACTTCCATTGGAAACTTAGTTACATTCCCTCTTCTGTTTATTTACAGTCGTGGTAAAATCTGGTATCTGCCTATACCTCGAGCAGGCAGTACATCCATGGCACCCCACGGCCCACAAAATTTGATTGCGGAAACTCCGAATCCCCCCAGACTCTAACAATAGCCCCTGTGTCACCATCGGCCACCTACAAAGCCCACATCTCAGGGCCTCCTGCGTGGTCCAGCAATGCCACAGTGACCAACGGACCACCTCCTTCTCCGGAGTCCTCAGGTCAGGGATATGCTCCCATCTTTCTAAGCCAATCTGTGGCTTTGGCCTTGAGTCTTAGCACCACGTCCTGTGGCCACACAGACACTCCCCTCGCCCATCCCTCTTGCAGGGAAGGGACTCAAGCTCTTGAAGAGGTGAATCCAGAGCCAGCTTGCTTCCAACCCAACAGCCTCATCAAGCCTCCCTCTCGAGCCATCACGGCAAAGCCCACTGTCCCTGGGAACGCACTCTTGTCAAATACCCTCTTAAAATGTGATGCCCAGGATGGCACTCAGTACTTTAAGGTACAAAGTCATTCTCATTATTCAGGATGAGGAAACGCTCTCCCTTTATAAATTATGATCAAGGACATACTGCCATTTCTTTTCCATAAACCAGATGAGGCTTTTGATCTAACACCGGCTCTCACTGGAGAGGGGGTGCTCTTCCTGCCTAATTTACTTATGAAAAATATTCAATTACGTCCCAAGTTTAATTCACTTAGTAATGAAAAGTAAATGAGCCCAACCAGCATGTTTGATTTGTCTTGGAAAGAGAAAAACTGCTTTGCAAGAACAAACAGAGTTAAATTAAAATAAGTGACTCTCCTCGCTCTGGAAATGGAAATTTCTCCCCAAAGCGCTTCTTGACACGGTCTGTGGAACACGGGGACTGATACCACACCTCCATGCAGAATGGCTCCCGAGTGTGCCCCAGGGCCAGCGGCCACGTGGTGCACACATGAGGGTGTGCAGACACGTGTTCGAACCCACATGCACACATCTTTCATCCGCCACAAAGCAGACCGCGAACTTGGGGTGAACCCCCAGGTGGCGTGGGGGAGGCAGCCCCGCGCTCGACGTGCGCCTCACGTACCGTTTTTGCAGATGGGACAGCACTGGTCAGGCTCGTACACGGGGTCCACACACTCCGTCTGAGGACACGCGGACACGGTGCACAGCACCTCCCCGTTGGCTTCGCAGCGGCACCGTTCACACGGAGACACCTACAACACAAGCCCAAGGTCAGGCTCAGACCTCCCGCCATCCTTCCCGGACAAACTCAGGTTTTCCTACCCACACCCCCCCATCCCAGAATCCGCTGTGAAGACGCCCGAGTGTCTTAGGAGTGTCAAACACGATGCAGCCCCGTGGTTTGCAAAGTGCAGAGCCAGGATGCTGGAGCAGAGCGGGTTTCCCTCCGAAAGCCCCTTTCTCATAGCTCTGCCAGGGCCACCCAGCTAGTCGGGGACACTGCCACACAGGAACTGAGCAGATAGCAGAGGGGGATGGGACCGGGTGAGGGAAGGAGGTACCTAGCCAAGAGCTGGCTGAAGGCGACCTCAGGGGGCCCTCACAGCAGCACTCAACCGAACCCTCGCCCAGTGTGCTGCTGCGGAAGCAGACTCGGGGGCAGGCAGCTTGCCAAAGGGCCTGATTCCAGAGCCCGGCAGGTCTTCCTTCTCTCCCCCACTGCCTCCAGGGGGCCCTCCCTCTGCCACTCAGTGAGCAGGGGCTTTCTCTGTGCTGCACGCCCAGCAGCTGGCCCAGATTCTACCTCTTGGATCATTCCCATCAAACATGATGGCATTCCTGGAAGGGTTGCACGACACCAACCTGATCGGCCACAGCCACACGCAGGCTGTGATGTAGATGATTTTTTTCCCCTGGAAATCACCACTAGAGTGATTGTCCATGGGGCTGACCCAGGACAAAGCAGAAACGGCATATGCGGACCCAGCAGTCAGAAGCAGGAGCCACCATGCGGAAATAGATGCTTTGAAAGATAGTGGGGAGGGTGTCAGGCAGAGCGTCCTGGACTGGGGGGTCCTGGGTGCTCTGCTCTGCACAGCACACCCTGACTAACCAGCACTCGAAAGGGAGAGAACGCAAACAACACTCACGATGCCTCCTTCGTCTAGCCAACGCCAAATTTAAGATCCCAAATCTCTACCAAATACCTGGTTATTTCATGAAACAGAAGCTCATTTTTTACGTAAAGTTAGTCTTTTGTCGAGCTCTAGCCCTCAGTCTGTCTGGCTGGGAGCGAGGGCTGAGGCTTATCTGTGTGAGTGTGAGTGCGTGTGTGGGTGTGTATGTGTGTGAGTTTGTGAGTGTAGGTGTGTGAGTGGGTGCACGTGTATATGTGTGAGTTGTCGGGGTGTGTGTGGGTGTGAGTGTGTCAGTATGTGAACGTCAGTTTGTAACTGTGTGTGTATGTGTGACTGTGTGTGTCAGTGTGTGAGTCTGTGACTAGGTGCATGCGTGAGTTGTGAGAATGAATCACTGTGTGCTTGTATGTGTGTGTATGTGTGACTGTGAGTGCATGTGTGTGACTGTGTGTGAGCCTGTGTATGTGTGTGAGTGTGTGACTACGTGCAAGAGTGTGTGCGAGTATTGTGAGTGTGGGGTTTGTCAGAGTGTATAAGTGTGTGTCAGTGTATGGGTGTGAGTGACTGTGTGTATATGTGAGTATGGGGTTTGTCTGAGTGTGTGTGTATGGGTGTGTGTGACTGTGTGTGTATGCACACGAGCCTGTAGACTGAGTGAGTACCGGTCAGTGAGACTTCAGAGCGGCCCAGGGTAACGCTCTGAGCTGGTGTGCAGGACAGCCTTAGAAGCTGCTGCCAGTCTTGCAACAACACAAGGCACGATTTCCAGGAACACGGTGGGCACCACGAGGCTCTCATGATGCTGTCACGGACTTTGTTCTTTGCTGCTCTCTTTTCTTTCTGCCCACACTAACTCCCTTGTCAGCCTGTAGCATCCTTCTGTCAAGGCTGCATTGCCTTAGCAAGCAGGGTAAGAAAAGGATCTGGAGTTTTAACAGGAGAGACCTTGAGTCGCGAGAGACACGGTTCATTGTGTGTTCGAGCCTTCAGTGTGAGGTGTTGGACCGAAGCCACACAGCACAGACAGGGCAGGCTCCGTGGTGCGGAGCCAGGCCCCCGGCCCCAGAAGAGGTGAGGACAGTTCCACCTGGAGGGCAGGGTAGTCCAAAAGGAACAAGAAAGTCAACAATCACTGGGTCTGTCCTCCAGAAAGGGGCACAGCCTGACACCACCCCCACGCCGCCTGCACTGTGGGGATGCAGTAAAAAGCCCCGTTCTGCTTCGGGAATTTGACAGAAGGGGAGACCAGGTCTCTGGGCTGTCCCCGAGGGGAACTCCAGGAAAAACCACAAAAGAGCAGGCGTGGGCCCCAAAGAGGGCAGACACTAGGACGCAGGACTGGAGGCAGCCTCACCCTGCAGCTCCCCACATGAGGGAGTGCATCCTGGGTGAGACAGCCCAGAAACGAACACTCCCTCCCGCTCCCGGCTCCACGACCTCCCTGTGTCCACGCACAGAGCGAGGCACGGACAGTGCATGCTTACGGCCCTGACCGCTACCTTCTGAAAGATTCTGCAACTTGATCAAAAGTTCTACTGGGAACTTTGCTATCATAGAACTGAGAAATTCTGATTCAGCTCTTTGGAGATGGGTTCATGTCTCAAAAACAGGAGTTTGAGGGATACCTGGGTGGCTCAGAGACTTAAACGTCAGGCTCTTGGTTTCAGCTCAGGTCATGATCTCAGGGTCCTAGGATCGAGTCCCAGGTAGGGCTCTGTGCTCATCAGGGAGTCTATTTGGGATTCTCTCTCTCCCTCTAACCCTTCCCCTGCTTGCTCGCTCTCTCACTCTCCAATCAATCATTCAATCAATCTAAAAATATATATATGAGTTGAGGCTCAGAAGCGGGACCACCACAAGCAAGAATGTCACACTCAGGCCTCACCTCCTGCCACCTGCTCTGCCCATCCTCACCACACCCCACACCAGGCTCCTGTCCCCACACCAGGCTCCTGTCCCTCGTAAAAAGAGTTTTAGCTCTGCTGAGTCCCACACAGAACACCGTGGCCACTATAGTCCCATCTGGGCAAAGGCCCCCACACCCTGTTCATAGGTTTTCTGCCTGCCCTGAGTCAGAGCTCCCCATCTGATCACGGTTTCCGGAACTCCCTGCCCAGGATGGCAGTCTCCCATTGGCAGCCAGGTCCCAGGGCATGGGGGGAGGGCGCAATCCAACCCCAGAGAACTCCAGCTGAGCTCCTCTGCCCCTCTGTGCATGTCTGGCTCTGATCACTAAGGGTCAGGCTTCACCCGGCTCTCCGCTCAGAAGCACAGTTACAACTGGCCCCTCCCCTCATTAAGCTCATCACCTTATTTCCCACCAGTGCCTCATATGGAGCAGGAAAGTTCACTAAAGTGCAAACCACTGCCATTGCCACCACTCCAAAAACCTACGTGAACTCAGTGGCTGGACCAGGAAGTCGCAGCCACATGAGCTCAGCGTCACCACGTCACAAAGGAGAGGTGTGACAGCACCCCGCTGCACTCGGGACAGCTGTTCTCCCTGCGGCCAGTCCCACCCCACCTCCGTACCCCCGACTCCCATGTCCCTGGGTCTGTCGCATCCTCAGACTCCTCTCCGAGGCAGCCACGTGCCCTCCTGTGACTGAGATGGGGGTGCAGGGGCTGCCCAGAAGACAGGAAGCCGCAGCCCAGGATCCAGCACGGGCTGTGGCCTCAACACAGAGGTTGGGTCAGCAGTCATGTGGTGCATCTGGCATTCCAGGTGCCCATGACCCTCTTTCTGGCTCATTTCATTAAGCCACGTATGGATGGAGTCCCTGCCCCCCGCCCCCCACCCGCGGCAGCAGGTGCAGGCAGCTGACTCCAGCGGCCAGACTCTGGTGGAGGTTTGGCTGCCCCGTGAGGAAATTCTGACTGTAGCCACCAGGTCGGAGCAGCCCCAAAGCTGCAGAGCCCTCATGCACCAGCACGAGCACCAGATGGCTTTCTGCCATCCCCATGTTCTCCATCCCGCCATGGAAGCTAAAACTGAGCATGCCCGTGCATCACTGCGCCTGTGACCAGCAAGGTGAACTTGCCAGTTGCATTCCTGCAGTCAGATGAGGCAATCCTTTATGTGCTTCCCACGTTGTTCAGTCCCCAAAAGATATTTCACCAGGGGTAACCTAGTTCTGAAACAGCAGCCCCTCTCGTTAGCAAGTCACAGCCTACATCCTGGATGGCATGCCTGCTGATGGAAACACCCTTCCCTGCAATCCTCTGGTTACAAACCCCGGTTCTGCGTAGACAGAATTTAAACACACAACCTAGAAGAACAGCTCAGCATGTAAGGAAAAGTCCCCGTTCTCGAGCCCCACCCCCGCTGCCCCCGCGTGCCAGGAGGAGACAGGACTTGTGTTGGGGAAAGAGAATAGGAACCGGGAGCGAGACAAGGTCTATGGATTCGTGCAGTCATCCCTGTCCTGAAACCAGACTGACAAATACCGCTTCCGCCATGTTTCTGGAAGGTAAGAGCACGGGCAGGAGCTGGGCTGGTGAGCACGACCGCCAGCCTGCCGAGCACTCCAGGCCCAGCCTCAGATCCAGGGTCCAGGCGGAGGCTGCTGGCCTGGCTTACTGTGCCAAATGGGCATCTTCAATGTGCATCCGAGAAGGTCCAACCTGAGGCAGTGAAGGACCAACCCTCCCAACGCGTGCTCGGCAAAGCCACCGGAAACACAACGCATCGCGGAAGCTCCGGTGCTATCACCCGAGGGCAGCTCGCAATTAGACCCTCAGAATGCCCGGTAATTATTCGCATATCTCCATCGCACGTGCGTTGGCTGTAAGGACCATCAAGTAAAGATTGCACCTATTTCTTAACAAAGAAGTAGGAATAGGAACCGTCATTTACAGAGACAATTTTCAAATGTGAAACGACGCCTGCTCAAAGGATATTGCTGAAATCCAGTGCCCCGTACGTACAGATTGAAGATCTCTATGGGAGGGGTCAGAGGTTGAGTGGGACACGTCTCAGCAAGGAGTACATAAGCAGCTTCCCATTTATCACCTATATTTTACGTTAATGAACAGGTGCAGTGAGGCACCGATTGTAGGAAACGCTGCCTTGCATGATTTCGCAACTGTGATTGTAATCGTTATCACCACGAGAA